CCTGAAATAAATCTGACAACTAAACAAAAATAGCTCCACTTCTGGAATCATCCATGCTAAGGAATATTTTAGTATAAAAAACCGGGTATTGATTTTGCTGGCTTATTATTCCGTATCACGACACTGGTTAGAAATTTTTGGTTTGCGAATAATAATAAATCAACCATGATTAAAAACATCCACCATAAAGGAATTAATACCTCATCAAAGGTTATGGTTCTTTCTTATACAAGGTGGTTTAGAATTTGCCTAAAAAAATTAGATCATTGTACAACTGGTCTAACCAAATATGATACAAAAAGTAGTTCACATATCTACTCTGTCACTAAATTTGTATGCTAATTGTTTTTAGTACTGTTTGTAGTTTGGTGTTTTAAAAAACACTTCTTGACTTCCTGTGCTTTATATTCCACAGATTTTTTCTTTAGAAAGGGTATTAATTTCGGAAATTGCTAATATCGATGTAATTTTAGGGTGTTAACATTGAGCTTGAATACAGAATCCATACACCATAAATTTACATTCTTTATGCAGTAAAAATAATGATTTTAATGCAAGTTTTGACGTACGAGCTAGATAAAGTTCCCTCCCTTCTCATCTAGATCAGCAACAACTGATTTCATTAAAACTGAGCCTGACTTTTTGTTCCTATTTTTAAAATGACCTGTTTACTTTGGAACAAGCCTGATAAATCTCAAAAGTGAAAGCAAATTGAGTACGGAAATGGAATACTAAACAAACACCTATCTACCAAAATGTTTCCACGAGAAGAAGGCGAAGTAGAAAAGTATATTCCACACTAAGTTCAGAGCTGTAGAAAATTTTATTAGTGTGTGCATGGCCTGGTCTGATAGAACAAATACAATTATTTTTCTGGTAACAGCATCGAAGTTACCTTCATTTATATTTCATTGTTTGTATATTACGTAATCAATATTTATGTACATGAGCATAATTGGTCTCCTAAACAATATGTAACTACCGATGCCATTAAAAAACTTGAATAAATTTTTAATATCCGCGCCAAAGCAAGCGTTGATTCAATCGATTGAAAATTAAATATTGACGAGCTTACACATAAACAACGTCGATCGTAACATTTTATACCTTTCAAATTTCGAAAGTTTGATGAAAAATTAGTGTTCATCGATATGTTTCATGTTCCTTTGCATACACTTTAGTCCAAGCGGGAGAGAGCATTGGCAAGATAAAAAAAACAAATTTTTGAATTTGTTTGAATTGCCTTTAAAATAGATCAAAAAATATCTCGACATACTTTTTAGTACAGCTTCAGTAGTATACCACCGACAATATTTCAAATCGTCTGCGAGGCACTGAATTATTCAAAATATTCCCAATACTCGTCCCAGACACAAAATTAATGGCACAAGTAAGTCGGTGGGCGAACGGTTATTTTTGCTTTTAAAAACACGTATTAATAAAAATTCTAATGCCAAGAATATGCAATTTTCCGAATGCAAAGGAAAACCCTCCGATATTTTGCAGTCGTTTTAAATGTAAATTGGTATTCGCAGAACAGAGGTACCAGGCTGTTACTGCAATTTTCTTCCTCCGCAAATTCGTGGATGGTTGGGTAAAATAAAAGAAATATACACGTTTTACTCGATGTTAAATATCGACGATAAGTTCCTAACGCGTTTTATTTTCAAATAATGCATAATCAGAATTTAAAACGTTGTTTTCGTATCTTAAGAATAAGAGGTAAAATCACAGATACGATCTAGTGGTATAAAGTTACTAGTAAAATGGTTTGGTATAACTGTGGATCCAGACCATAACCGGTATTTACTACAAGAGACTATATTATTTTATTTTCCAATTTTTTATCCATGATCTTCAACCATATCCTCGTATTAAATACCTACTCCTTTGTGTGTCCCTCCTATTTTTTTAAATTAGAACAAGCATGATGTTGAAGATTACAGACCTATTGCTACTAAATTCACAGTGTACTGCTATACAAAACTGATACCTTGATGTCAGTAAATTTTACCCTTTTACACTTTGAAATCATGCAATACCGTATTTATAAATCTGATATACTTAGTCAAACATCAGTCGTTGCCTCAGGGTAAATGTTTAACCCACTATTTTTTATTCTGTTCATCAACAATATCGCGAATGTTAATGTTCAAAGTGAAGATTTCAAGACTATTTCTACTTTACGTTCGCTACATATAATTTTTTCAGATCCAGATTGAAGTAGGCCTCTGTGGTTCGACTCCTTATCATAATTACATATTATACAGCATGATGATAAAGTTTGGAACAAAATTCCTAACTTTTACTGAGTGATTTTAAAAAACGCCGAGACAGGTCGATTTTGTTCTTGGGAGTGGCATCTTTTAAGATGATTCAGTTGTATACAGGGTGTCCAGGAAAGCTAGACGGCTAATGTATATTTTTTCATATTCGGATGACAACAAGACAAAACTTGCTGATTTAAAATGCAATTATAAAAATATTGTTATTCCCATTGTATTGTTATTGTTACAGAGTGGGACCAAAAGTTTATTGCGTAGTTACAAAGTTCAATTATAAAATCACCCCGTAACTTGTCATCAAAACTCCTCTGCAGCATATAAACCCACATAATGACATTCGGCTTCCAAGAAACTCGAGGAAATTGCTGAAACCCAATACCGCCCCGATTATGCGACATTTTTATAATGCCCGGACTTCTGTGGGCGATCTTATCGCCCTAGAATTTTTCCGGACGGCGATTTCTGCAAGATCTTAATCGCCCCAGGTACTACGGCAATGAATGTAGGTCAGTAACAGCAGCGGCTTATCTCCCACCTCATCTAAACACACGTAGTTGTGCGGTTGGGACCCTGTGACGCTAATGTCATTATAACAACTACCCGATACCGATCGCGCTCGACGTAATAAGGACGTTATAAATTGAATTAGGGACTGAAAATGCGCAACAAAGGGATTGTAGACGTAGTATGTCCGGGGTGAGGGGAGGGACAAAGTATAAACAAAGGTGAAAAGCGGTTTAATGGGAAGTTATCGGTGCAGATTTGGTTGATTGGTTTATCCAATGTCAGCTTGTGATGAATGATACCTGTTAAATACAACAAACAACTACTAAGCATGAACAAAGGAAACTCAATATTATATTTTTTTTTAACAATGAACGATTAATAACAACCCAAAAGTGATAACCACAATGGTTGTATAATCCTATACAGGATGTTCTACAATCTCTATGACAATTTTGACACATTGGTTAATGTCAAACATTTTTCTTATATGAACATAGATCCGATTCGTTTTTGTTACAAGCATGTTAAAGAATACAAAGTAGCTTGATAAATAAAAATGATGGTTGCTACACAGGTCAACATTTAGTTTGAAAAAAAAAATGCTGGACTAGGTACCCAGGAAGCTTTGATGTCGCTGATTCTGATGCCAAAGTCGGTTAAGCTCTATCACGTGAGGTTCAAGGTCATTTAAAAGTCAAACTAAGAAAAAGTGGTTGAAAAAATATGAAAAAAATCATACATACTTTTTTAGGGTCACTAAGTCTGAATTCGATGTCGGTTGACCTCTATCACCTCATGTTCAAGGTCGTTTGAAGGTTAAAGTGAGAATAAGAGGGGAAAAAAAGTGGAAAAATCTTTTAGGAGTGCTCAGCTGCCTACTTTTGTCTGTTTATCTGTCTGTCTTTTTACCTGCACACCTATTTGTTTGCTTGTTGGTCTGTATTGATCGTCCGCCTGTATTTTCTCTCTGTCGATCTACCTGACATCCTGCCTTTCTACCTGCCTTTGTGTCGGTAATTTTGTCTATCTTCCTATCTGACTAAATGACTAAATGTTTCTATCTGTCTGGTTTTCCCCCACCGTCTGTCTAAATGTCCACTAACAGCATGTTTGCTTCCTTGTCAGTTGTCTTCTTACCTTTCTGCCTGCCATCCTCTCCCGGTTTTGCGTGATTGTACAAAAACTAGATTAAGAAAGGAACTTTTGAAAGCCTTCAACAAAGCAATTCGCTTCTCTCGGCATAAATGTATTAATCGAAATTCGGGAGAGAACGCTTATGTTGTTCCTGTAATGATCTTCAAATCGCTTTTCTTTTATGTGCTTTATTTATGTCCTTCTTTAGATTCCAGCAATAGTCTGCTAACATAATTCTTCCCCCAAACACCTTGATATCTTTGTCCAAACTCATTCTGCTCCAGGTGCATTCTTTTTCCTTGTTCTTCACTAAAAGCTCCCAGACTTTTTGGGAACCAATCAAGATGAGAATGAAGAAAGTGAAATTTCAGATTCATGTGACATTTGGATATCTTCGTTGGTATTCTTGGGCTGCTTGCCTGGCGTTCCCATTGGAGTGCCCATATGCAAAGTCTTCAGTTGTAAATAAATGCATTTTTCGGATGAAACAAAGAATAACTATAATAATTATTGTTATAGCAACCATCATTTTTTAATTTATCAAGCTACCTTGTTTGAAGTTATTTTTAAAATGCCTGTAGCTTCTAAACAATAACCAGTCGGATCAATGTTCATATAAGAAAAAATGTTTGATATTAGCCCAGCCATCATCTGTCAAAGTTTGTCATAGAGCTTGTAGAAGACTCTGTGATGATTTTTCTGAAGTAATTCGATTACGGAAGACCAACAAGCCTGATCAGTGTTCAGCGAAATAAAAGACATAATATGAAGGGTTTATTTAGTCCAACTAATTTTTTTAAACATTTTTGATGTTTAAAGCACTAGTCGGCTTTCTCAGAAATATTCGGTATTTTCAACCAGTTTCAGCGACATACTCAAGTCCTGCGGGTGTTGAAGTAATACCAAGAACGAATTCTTTTTATTTTGTGGGCCTATGTAACAGGTGCTGTATACCTAATGATAAAATCATTGGTTTCATAAGCTACGCTGTCAACTGTTACCAGCTTCATCAGTGCAAATTAACGAGTTCCTCCGATGGCGACAAGTGACGTTAATACTGTTTTTTTTTGGCAGGCTCCAAGTTCCTATGTTCAGAAGTAATAGCCCCCATAAGAAGCGAGGTGGATGACATCAGCCTAATCATCATCAACTTCGAGGACCTGACCACGGTGCCGGCGCCGTCTCTGGAGAACAGTCCCATAGGAAAGAATAGGTTAAGTAAATGTAGGTAAATATTATGTTCGAATCCTTCTCTTAGACTGCGTCGTGATAAGCTTGTCGCTAGCTCCAAAAATACTATGACGTTACGTTTATTGTTTCAAAAATATTAACATGGGTTGCAACTACAAAACACAACGTTGTGAAGTTCTGTACATGTTTCAATTGTACACCACGTGTACCAAATTTTATTTAAATTTTTTGTATACTCACAGTAGGTCCATACTATCGATTTTGAGACACCGTGTACATATTAGCAGCAAGTTCCTCAGCAACTGTATATTTTTGTCCACCTTTGTTTGAGTCTTATTTGGCTTTCAATCAGATAAATTTCATCAATATTGAGGGTTTCCCCAAGAGTTAACTGTAGGGCCGCTGTTGTTTGTTATTTTTATTAATGATCCGACTGAATGTGTTAACACCCTGTATATTATATTCATTTGTTCCTTGCAAACTACTATACATATACAGGGTGTATCTAAGTACTACCGAAAAAATGTAAGGGGTGACTCTCTGATGAAAATTAATAGGGGTCTTTGGTATAAAATTTAAAAAAAAAACTCTGCTTCAATGCAAAGAACAGGCCACTAGATCTTTCGCATTAAAGAGCTCATCTTTTTAAAAATGCATTGCAATACATTTATTTTTTTTCATAAATCCTTAACTTTTCGAAAAAACTTGAAGAGATCAAAAGGTGAGTAAATGAATGGGGCTTTTTAGACATATTTTTTTAAAACGAAAATATTTTATCGAAAAAAAATTATAAGATAAAATGTCATACGGGTCTGATTATTTCAACCCCTTACAAAAATACTCCAGGGTTGAAAATATTTCAAAAAGTGTAGTTTTTACGACAGATGATGTTCACCAAGTTTGGTTTCTTTAGCTTGATATACATGGAAGATAAAAAAGAAAAACATTTTTTTTAATTTTTGGAGGGTCGTAACTTTTCAGGGGAAAATTTAAAATTTTATACCTAAAACCCCTATTAATTTTCATCAGAGAATCGCCCCTTACATTTTTTCGGTGTTATTTAGATACACCCTGTATAATAATCTCATTTATCCTAAAATTTATTTATACAGGGTGGCCAAATGAAAACTAAACGGAGCCATTTTCAGGAACTGTGTCAAGATTGTAGAAAATCGCTCAGACCCGTCGATTTAAGATTAAAGGGGGACATTCTTTGCTGGTATTTTTGACTCCGCCACTGTCACCCCCAAGCAAGGGTAAGTATCACCCCAAAATATTTAAATGGCATTGGGGGTTGAGTAAGTTCTTTTGAAAGCTCTTACAATTCTCTTTACAGCAGACTTGACTAAATCGTCACAATTGCCGCTATTGGTCCGATTCAAACCCAAGAGTTTTTCACGAGGTGCATACACAGGAACGGGAAAAATTTCATTTTTTGGGCTTGAATTTTCGGTGACCGGCTGGTGGGTCCTTTTTTTCTACCTGGTAATTTGACTGGCCAAATATATTTCCAATTACTGGAAGACGCTATTGACCTGCCTTGACTGATATTATTGAAAATGTTCTAAAGTATGACGAATAGATCATTTGATTTTTCAACAGGACGGTGTTCCTCCGCGTTATGCGTTAATTGTCCGTCAGTATTTGGACCAACGTTTTCTACGGAATTGGATTGGGAGAAGAAGCAGCATTGAGTGGCCTCCACGATTACCGGGTTTATCGCCCCTTGATTTCTTTTGTGTGGATACTTAAAAAGTAAAATCAATAAAACACGGCCAGCGTCGCTGGAAGATTTGCGTCAAAGAATCGTCGACGAATGCCGTCGAATCACACCGCAAATACTTCGGAATGTTTGCGAACGTTTCGAAGACTTGTAAGAGCTTCCAAAAGAAATATTACTCAACCCCCAATGCCATTTAAATATTTTGGGGTGATGCTTACCCTTGCTTGGGGGTGAAAGTTGCGGAGTCGAAAACACCAGCAAAGTATGTCCCCCTTTAATCTAAAATCGACGGGCCTGAGCGTTTTTCTACAATCTTGACGCAATTCCTGAAAATGGCTCTGTTTCGTTTTCATTTGGCCACCCTGTATTTATATTTATTTATGTTTACTTAGGTTAGGGCCCTATACATTCCTCTTTGTAAGACTTATTAAATTCATCTAAAACATTCCTCCACCCGTCCCTGCCTAGCAATATTACCGTAACGTCAGTTATTACATTTCCAATTTTTCCAGTCGATCAAACTGCTTTTTCAATCGCTCTGCCAAACACTCTCGAGATTAGACACCGTCTAGGGCGTTTTTTAAGCAAACAACGTCGTTAGGTTTTAAATTTCGAGCAAATATGTTTTTTTTCGCAGATGCGAGAGCGGGGCGTTATTGCTTTATTCCACTTTTGTCTGGCTTAAAAGCGAACCGAGAAGGATGAATCGATTCGGGTGTATTGCGTACCTACGCTTTTTTCTCGTTGGAACTAAAAATAATGCCTAGTAAACGGAGTGATTTTTTTTGGGCGACGCAAAATTATTAATTGCAGTGCGTTTTGTGATATATTTTGATTCTGTAAATATTTTGGATACCATTCAACTCGTTTATAAATATAATCCGAAATAACAAGTCATTAGTGTAGCGCTAGACGTCCGTTGATTATACAGGGTGAAGCGCGGAAAGAAAACGATTACGGTAACAGGGTGCAACAAAAACACTAGAAATATGTGTGAACGACTGGAACAACTTGTTTAAGATAAGTGACAATGTCACTGTAAACATCTACAAGATGATAAAAATAAGTGTAAAATACAGTTTGAAAGCAAAGAGTCTCAAAAAAAAGAGGTAGATTTTGTTTATAACTTTCAAATGGAATAATCAATTGAAATTTAATTTAGGATATTACTAGAGATCGATACATGTACATCTGAAGCTTCGCATCGATCAATTTATTCGATACGTATCTGCTTACTCTGTCAGTGTGACGTGACGGTAAATAATCCAGGTTTTTTGCTGAGGGATGCAATGTCAATACCTTGTGTGACAGTTACAATCCTTTTTAAAAAACAATGGAGACCAACTAAGTAGAAATCTAAGGTTGTAGTATTTCAAGACATCTGTGTAACATGTTTCTTTTTATAACATCTCCTACCTGTGATTTCAGCATACAATCCAAATGATAACTAATTCAGAAGCTTTTAAAAATTAACCGTAATTTTTTCTGAACTTAACTTTTTGTTAATGCGCTGTTTTGACTTTAGAAATTAGATTTTGTCCCGTTATTTTTAACGTTGGAAAAACAAAATCATTTTAAAGATGAAATTTATTGTATCTGGCTTGTATTCTCATAATTCAGTAGACAACTTGTTTTCCATCATTTTTTTTTATAGTATTTTAACTATGCAGATATTTTAAAAATCGTTCAACTTATTTATGTGTCCGGATTATTTATAAATGAGTTGTTGGTGTCGGTTTAGTTGAGTTCGATATCCGACATTATTAAAACAACCTAGTTTTTGTTTCATACAAGTTATATTTAAGTAGCGCCATCGTATTTTTTCAGCATAGAGTATTCAGTGACTATTTTACTAGGTACTAGGTGAATCTTAAATGTGTACATTGATATTCACATAATATTCTAGCCACCTTCAATTTTTTTACCTTACAATCTCTTACAAAAATATTTGAAGCAACCACTAACTTTTCAAAATTGAGTCCTGTCGTCGTATCAGATAAAAGTTGTGGAATATCAAAAAACCAGGCTGGTGACCTTGAATTTAACCTTGGCCTTAATTGTCAAGGTCAAACAAAGGTCAACCTGAAAATTATTACATTATTTTTTATGCCAGCTCCAAATGTTATGTCCGAATGTGGTGTCTGAAATTTGTTTCCGTATGTTCTTGCACAAATGACAAATTACATGGTGACTTACTTGAATTTGACCTTTACCACAAGCCCCAAGGTCAAGCTAACGTCAACTAATATCAAATGAAATACACTTTTTATGCCAGCAACTGATACAGCGCCAAGATTCTGAAACCAAAAAAAATTTTCCAGGATGTCCTTGAAGATCATTTGAAGGTCAAATTAATTTTTCATGATAAATGATAGACGTATACAATTGATGCTATTTTATGTATACATACATTTATTTTAAATTTGATCTGTTTGTTGCTAATTTTTTCACAACAAAACTATTACATGTCGTCATGTTGTACACAATAAACTGTAAAGCTGTCTAAACCATACAGGGTGTCCCAAAAAGACGCAAGGCCCGACAACTTATCAAGATTGAGACCTATAAAAGAAGTTTTAGATAAAAGTTGTAGGATAACAAGAAACCAATATGCTAGTGACCTTGAATCTGACTTTGACATTAAGATTCGAGGTCAATCCAAGTCATCTTGAAAATATTAAGTGGTACACCTTATTTTTATGCTAGCAATCGACAGAGCACCAAATTAAGTTCGGAAAATTTTACAAGAATGTCCTTGAAGGTAATTTTGAAGGTCAAAGTCGTTTTTCTCTGAATAACTGGACAAGAATTGTAGTGCAAAATGTTTCTAGCAAGGTTTTCGAATTACAAATTCGATGGTGACCTTGCTTTGACCCTCGGCTCATTTTCCAAGGTCATACCAATGTCAACTGAAGAATATCGTATAGAACACCTCATTTTCTGTCAGCAGTCGCTAGAGCGTCTAATTAAGTCCGATTATAGGAATATAGACACCGAATATGTCCTGAATAGCTCCTCAGGATTGTATTATTAATTATAAAGCCAATACTTCCTGATGTAGGGAATTTTAGAGTAGAATATAACAAATGTTTTTACTGCAAGTGCTCATTTTATTCCATACTTCTACTTCCTGTAGTTTTACATTGAAAACACTTCTATTATATGTACGCAACAATGTATTATTCATACACGTATGGAATACGTGCATAATGTTATATTATGCAAATCTTTACATTACAACCAGCGATACGGATCAATGCTGCTATTGTTCACAGAAATATTTCTGATAGTCGGCAACGAAAATCTTATTGTTTTACATGAAACAAAAAATCACTTTCTATTGGCGTGAAAATATATCTGCGTATTTTCTAAGGAACAATTTATTAAAATATTTTAAAAGTCCAAAATAAAACCCATTTTATATTTATTAATTTTTTATCCAAGGAATTGAGCAAGAAATTGGCCAAATTGTATGTGTACATGGAATACAAATATTGTGTTAAATTCTCTAGCTTCTATAAATTGGCCAAGGAATTTTGGAGACAATTTTAGAGACTTTTAGCATTTATTTAATGTTAATTTTAGATACGTTCTGCAATTGTGACATTTCTTTTTAAATAATAGAAATATACATGTGTTTTTTATTGCAATTACGTTAGTTTCTGATTGTGGTTTGCATTAGCATGGATTTCCATTCCAAAAGTTGCCTTAAATTTTATGAATAAATTGGTCAATTTATTATAATGACCAATTGATCAATTTCCTGTAAATATAAAAAAGTTGTCTGTACTTTTCGTGCAACATATGTTATTCGTAATACTTTAGCCTCCTGATCACGAATCCGGTGTCAGAATTGAGCTATCACATCACAGGAATTTCCTAACCTCAAAAACAGGTTAAAAATTGCAAAAATTCACGAAAAAGTGTTGGTTAAAATAGAAAAATATATTTTTTTCTATATTCAAATGTTCATTTATGTGGTTAAGACCCCGCCGAACGTGAATTTCAGTCAGAATTTATGGGTCTTTTTCTAACCTCAGAAAAACAGGTCGATTAAGGTCAGATATGACGAATTTTCAAAAAGTAACAGATTCGCGCCAAATTTGGTATCCGGGTGTTTTCGGAGTCGCTGACCACGGATCCGAGGTCAATCTTGTAAAATTCAAGATGGCGGATCCAATATGGCCGACCAAATTTTCAAAAAATAACACATTTGCGTCAAATTTGGAATACGGGGGTTTTCGGGGTCGCTGATTACGAATTTGAGGTCAGAATTGCGAAATTTATTTTGTAATATTTTTGTTTACTTTATAACCTGAGTACCCAATCATGTTTTAACTTTCTTGAAGTAGGTACATGGGTAATTGATTAAATTTTTGAAAACGAATTTTGTAAATCTGAGCTTGGATTCGTGATCAGTGACCCCGAAAACCCCCGTATACCGAATTTGGCGCGAATCTCCTTAATCATATAAATGAATATTTGAATAAAAAAAATTTTTTTTTACTTTTCCTAGCACTTTTTCGTGAATTTTTGCTATTTTTGACCTGTTTTTTGAGGTTAGGAAATTCCTGTGATGTGATAGCTCAATTCTGACACTGGATTCGTGATCAGGAGGCAAAAATACTACGGACAAGATAAGTCGCATGAAAATTCCAGACAACTTTTTTTTTTCTGTGTGGCTGTGTTATTATTAAATAAGATTTTGAAATTTGAAAAATAAATATTACTAAATGGAGTATCGTAAAATTATTTATATTTCACTGTATCAGTAAATAATAATTTGTTTTTTAAGTTGACAGAGCACGGGCGTCATTCCGGCAGAGTTTGAGGTTAGGATCCAACATAAGGGGCAGAGGACTAAGACTAGCTGGTTACCTGACTCCGCCCAGTGACGTCACTGCAGCGGAAGAGGAGGAAGAAGACACGTTGGAGAAATGGTACGCTATATTTAAATATTAAATTTTACCTTCAAAAATTAATTGGTTTTTATTGACTTTTTATATTTTTTTACTTTACTTTTCAAGTATTTTAAGCCAATTCGAATTGATTTCAAAAAATGTTCCTAAAAATCTTATCAAATGAATTCGTATAATGAATTTTAATATCAAAATTTCATTGCGCCTATATTTTTTCAATTATAATCAGCAGTAACCGTAAAACAAACAGTAGTAAAGGCGGCAATCATTGTTGTCGTTCAAAATGTTCTTTCCAGTCTTGACTTTCTGTTGAGGAGAACCTTAGACATATCATTCAGGTGCTTTGTCGCGTTTTCAACCTCCAAAACTACTAAGAAAGTAGCTGTCTGCGAATATTTTCCACAAATTGTAAAAAATACGCCACGAAACTTCTTGGGAGTTTGTTTGTACCGCATTTTCTATCTTCCAAGCTTTGAATAACGAATATTCCTTGGCGTAGGTCTCTTTTGATTTTAGCGGAAGTAATTTCAAAGATGCAGCTTCTGCTTCTAATCGAATATTTTCCAGCAAAGGCTGCATCACGTTCTACAAGCTCGTCAAAATGAAAATCAGAGAATTTGTTATCTATCAACAACTGGATGTACCTACCGACCTTGACAACCATGACTTCCTTTTCCAAAAAAAATATTGCTGCAGCAATATCCGAAACATAGCGTCAGCCCTTGGAGACTTGTATGGATCAAATCTGCTGCCAGATCATTTGATCCAAGCCTGGTTCACCGTTCTCTTTGAGATGTCCCTTTTTGCAAGCTCTAGTCATCCAAATCTCAGTAACCAAGATCTCCAATTTCTTCTAGTAGAGATAACTCACAAAAATTTTCACTTAAGAGAAACTCGACAGTTTCCTGTTCCAGTTTCAATAAATTCTTCGCCCAGAGCCTTGAGAGTTTCAAGTTTTGAAGGAATTAATTCCTGGATAAGATATTTTGGAGTCTAGCGCTTTGAGGAAAGATATGAGTTTCCACATCGAGCTTCCACGAGGTTTCCTCTCTGCCTCCCTTATGTTTTAACCTTTTTCTTCCTTCTGGTAAACCTACAAAGGCTACCTTCTACTAGATTAGTATTACTCAGATATTTCCAAGGTCCGGCGATCCTCATTGATCTGAGATAGATCTCCCGTCGATTCCTGCGATGGTCTGGATTCATCTAGCCATTTTATCAGCTTCCTCCTTGTCCCGATGTTCCTTATGGACCTTTAATCAAGGTGAGATGTCATCATTTAGACTTTCTAACCTTAGCAAAGCATCAAAATAACTCCATACCAGTCTAGATTCGATCTGCCACGAGCTTATCGTCTTTCGCCTGCCTGTTGGTGTAAATATTGATTGTTTACGCTCTGTTCAGAAGCTTGTCCCTAACCTCGTACATATAACTTTTTCAATAGAGCTGTATTCGATGCGCCACTGAGTAAAATTTTTAAAATAGGAGAAATCTTCCTCCACAGCGCTATAAATAACAACCTTATTGTTATACGACTAATTGGTACTTATTGCGACTCTAAGAACGCTCTCGCAGCGGATGTAAGGTGGAAAGGGAACAGATGTCGTGGGAAATGAGATATAAAAAATAAATTTTCTGCCACAGAACCGCAAAGAAGTAATTTCCCAGAGGAGAACACGGTATATTACTTTGATGTAATGGCGTTGTTAATTATTTCTGAACGCGGCCTTTCTAAGTGCTGCGTCAGTCACGCGGCTCAGGCAGTGCCGTAGTCGGGAGCGACTTTGAGGGGTGCAACCTACACAACATCCACAAATTAGATTAGAAGTTGAAATGCTGCAGACAATGACGTAACAGTTTTTTTTTATAAAAGCTCTATAAAGTTTTTTTTCAATTTTTCGTCCATATAATCATAATCTTGATAAAACTTATAGAAAGGTGAATCTACTTAATTTATTCTCGACCCCAAACACCCTTCGCCAGAAAAGCACCATCTAATTTTCCTGCGCTTTCCAGCCCTTTGACGCTGAACTCTCCCATCCTGGAGCAGACCTGGGCGTCGAGGACAGAAGCCCCAGCGGCAGCGACGCACGTCGCGACACCGACGCCCGTCCAACAGAAGGACTACACGGCGTTGACGATATCGCATAGTGCGCCGGCCAGCCACCAGGCGTCGTTCGAGCGCGGCGAGAGCGTCGAGCGGACGAGGCCGGGCGTCCTTTCCAGCGGCGGCAACGGCAACAACCACAGCAACAGGTAAGGTCGTGGGCGAAGGGATTTTGAGGTTATGACTATGAAGATCATATCTATCAAATGTCGAGATGTGTCAAAGCTACTAATTCTGCTTCAGATTGTGTTAAAATCACAACAGGTACACCACAGGGGTCGTATCTGGGCCCTTTACCGCTTTCTTTGTTCGTCGAAGACATTAGTATCTGTTTTTCTCATTCAGAGTTCTTTTAACAACAATAAGAGTACTGGTACTGATAATATTTTAACTATAAAGTCTCTTGTGTTATTCAAATTTTATTACTAGTTCGTTAGAAAATGGCATTCAAGTATATTCGGTCTATACTGAATTTCAAAAAGCTCCCAATCCCGAGTGAATATCTTTTAATTTTTTAAAAATTAGTGTTATATAGTTTTAGAATGGTTTGCTTCAGTGGTGCAAAAGTTTCCTCGCGATTCGAAAGCGATTTATTATCTAGCAAGGTTATACCTCCAAAGAAATTCAACTTACTTCCAAAGTTCCTCAAAGTTGTCATTTAAGGCCTGTTTCATTCTTCCTGTTTATAAACGATTTAAGAAATGTAATAAATCTCGGTGCAATATTATTTCTAAAAGCTGTTCACACAATAAATGAGTGCAGCAAAACTACCTCTGTTTGAATATCACAAAATGTAAGTGGAAAACATTAACTTTTAATGTAAAAAGTATCTACTACCTCAGATCTGGTAATTTTGTTGGATAGCAAAATGACATTTACTCCACATATCCGTAAAAAATATCAGCAATTATGCTGTTATATTCTTTAATTCTTTGTCACTCAGTATTTTGATATATATTGTATTTTATGTCCTTCATATTATCAGGACCACATTGATCTCCTTGGAAGAGTGCAAAAAGGATGGGTCATCTTTTTATCGTGTAAACTCTCTCACGACAAAACGTGGTTATCTTTTATCTTCCGGAAATATTATTATCTTCTGTCTTACCCATGTGACTCTCTAGGTAAAATATGATTACTTTTATCTTATCTGGATGATATTCTAAATAAAATACAACTACCTTTCCTTTTGTATACATGATTCTCTAGATAAAACGCGATTATCTTTTGTTTATAACTTTATCTAGTTGAAGCTAATAATTCTAGATAATGTATGGTTATTTTTAACATATCTGGATTATCTTGACTATACATGGTGTTAAAAAAGGAGTATAAAATATTTAAGGAGGTAATAGTATGAACCAAAATATGCAGAAAAGTCTCAATGAACATGGGTCCGCAAAGTAACGGTTGCGGAGATATGAAATGTTTTATGTTTTTTAGCCCCTTTTTTTATTTTGCAAAAACGTTGTGTATTTTCTTATAATAGTTGGTTGATGTTTAGTGAAATAAACAGTACGTATTTGACAGTTGTTCTCAGTGCACAAGTTTTCTTTCGCTATGGCTGGTTACTCTAACGCAGAATTAACAGACATGCATTTCATGTATGGTCGTGCTAATGGGAACGCCACCGAAGCGCGACGTCTTTATGTTGACGCTTATCCAAATCGCCAGATTCCTTCACAACGCATGTTTGGAAGAATTCACCAAAGATTGCGTGATACCGGTTCCTTGAGCAAACAGTGCCATTTATCCGGAAGACCAAGGTCGGTATCCACTCCTAGAGCAGAAGAAGAAATTCTAGCACTGGTAGAGCAGAATCCAGGTACGAGTGTGCGGAGAATATCAGCCGAGGTAGGAATTAGTGGTCCTCTTGTTTGGAGAATCCTTCACGAGCAACTGCTTTATCCATACCATGTGCAACGAGTACAGGCCTTAAATCCAATAAATGATCATCAAGCACGTTTGGTTTTTTGCCGCTGGTTTCTACGTCATGATGCTGAAGACCCTCGTTTTCTTGCAAACATTCTTTTTACTGATGAGGCCGGGTTCACAAGAAATGGAGTGTTTAATTTTCACAATACGCATATTTGGGCCGACGAAAATCCTCATGCTCTAATAGAATCTGGACATCAGGCACGTTTTTCATTAAACATTTGGATGGGTATTGTAGGTGACAGGTTTCTAGGTCCTGTTGTTTTACCAAACCGATTAACAGGCGCTGCTTACCTCAACTTTCTGCAGAACACACTGTATGAGTTTTTGGAAGACATTCCTTTGAATCAGAGGCAACAAATGTGGTTCCAGCATGATGGTGCTCCAGCTCATTTTTCCATGGCCGTTAGAGAGCATTTACACCAAACTTTTCCACATAGATGGGTAGGAAGGGCCGGACCTGTTTTATGGCCTCCAAGATCGCCTGATCTGAACCCTCTAGATTTCTTTGTTTGGGGATATTTGAAGACATTAGTGTATGGTACTCCTGTAAATAGCCTGGAAGAGCTGCAGCTACGGATTAATCAAAAGTGTCAAGAAATCCAAACCAAGGAGGGTGTTTTCGAAAGAGTTCGAATATCGTTGAGACGAAGATGTCGTGCCTGCTTGGAAATGGACGGAGGGCACTTTGAACATCTTCTGTAACTTTGTTTTTTGTTTGTTAAAAGCTTCCTTTGTCGGTTTATTCCTAATAAAATAAAAACGAATAGTAGTCCATATCTCCGCAACCGTTACTTTAGGGACCTATGTTTATTAAGACTTTTCTGCTTATTTTGGTTCATACTATTACCTCCTGAAATATTTTACACTTTTTTTTAACACCCTGTATGATTCTCAAGAAAAAGCGCGATTATTTATTGTCTTACCTAGAAATATTATTGTGTTTTGTCTCATCCAAATAATTCTCTAGATGTCTAAATAAACATGGTTTTTATTTTGTCTAGATAACATCTAGTAGATAAAATATAATTACGTTGTCTTTTATCTATACCTATAATTCTCTAGATAAATCGTTATTTAGGTATCATTTTCATCTAGCGAATGTGATATTACCTCTGTTGTGCACTAATATCAATACTCAAAACACAGAAATTGAAATTAAGACGACGAACATTTCTTGAATAAATTTTGAAAACTTGGTATTTTCATGGTCATTTTTATTCAGAAAATATCCACTAGTGATGTTCTATTTTTGCGGTTGTCATTTACTTTATTTAGGAAGTAACCTATTTTGTTATGTACGGTCCAAATTATTTCAATTAACTGCCTCTTTTCATCATCCCATAACAATTTTGAACATTTTCAACTCAGTTGTTGAAAGTTAATAAAGTCTTCGAGGTCATGTTTTTTCCAAAATTCGAAGAATTTTCTACATAACTTGGCAACTCCCCACCAAAATGATAATCTGTGTATATTGCCATATATTGAACTTTCTCAGAAATCCATATGTGTAAAAATATACAGGGTGTTCCATTTAAGAAATGTAATATTTGACGTGTCCCGTTTTTACTAATCACCCTGTATGTATCAAATTAATTTTGTAGTTTAGGTATCTTGATTCTGTATAACTGTCATATAAACTTTTTTTTCTGTATTATGAGTAACAAGGGGGTTGTTTTACTTTCTAACACTAATGGCCCACCCTGTATAAAAAAAAATTATCTTACAAAACGTTAACAGATTATTTTATCTCTGTTTCAGGCAACCCCATATCACGCAAAACCGTGTGTCGCACGCCACAAGTCTGGACGCCATCGCCAGAAGACAGTGCTTTAGGACGGGATATCCAACAGTCACCCTTTGTAAGTGTTGGTACGACTGCACATCCTACAGAAGCATCACAACCTCACCACTGAAATGTGATTACATCCTAAAACCTCGAAAGAATTCCGTAAAGCATCACATTTTGAGAAGAGCGACTGTAGTAGATCTTTACATTTGTGAAACATGTCTGTACACTGAAAAGAAAAACATGCAACTTCAGAAATAGTAGCTGTTTAATACTTTGACGTTGTTAATTGCAACAAAGAAAGACCACCTTAGTGGCAGAAACTGTAAAAGTTTTCTAAGAAAATAAAAAAAATCAACTATCTACTTTACAATTGCTATAAGTTATGTAAAATGTAACATTTCCGCACTAGTGTCTAAATATTTTACGCATTAATGTAAAAAACTAAGTTGATACACTAGTGTCAAAAAATATTTTATTCACTTGTGTATTATATACACTAGTGTAAAAAATATACGCTAATAAAAAATATACACTAATAAAAAATATACACTAATAAAAATATACACTAATAAAAATATGCACTAATAAAAAATATACACTAATACAAAATATATACTAATAAACATATACACTAATAAACATATGAACTAATAAAAATATACACTAATAAAAATATACTAGTGTCACAAATATTTGTATACACTACTATCAAAAATATACACTAGTGTCGAGAATATTTTGTACACTAGTGTCAAAAATATTTTATACATTAGTGTCAATAACAAATCTGTATATTTTAATGTTACGACGACAGGAAGCACTAATTTTGCTCATGCACATCGTGTAAATGTGTAGCACACTGGTGTGAAAAGCTAAATTGTTTATATTTTAATTAAATTACATTAAGTCTAAGTCGTAAAGTACATATTTCATACACTAGTGTAAACAAAATTTTTTATATTTTGATGTCAGAATGCAAGTAAAATACTAATATTATATACCCACACCATACAGTACTGAAAATCTAACTTTCTAACACTAGTGTGTAACGTTTTGTGTGCACTACTGTGAAAAACTTTAATTTCTCATGATGAACGACTATTCAGTCGCACTGACAGACAGAGGGTCATAGAATTCAATTGTTAAAGAATTCTATCTAAATAGTAAGTGCTTATTTTTTTGAGATAATGTCTTATCGCCTTACTGACTGCAGTAGTGTGCAAAATAACATACTTTACGTACAAATGATTGTTTATAGTTGAATACAAAACATATATTTTTTGACAATAGAAAAAAATATTAAAATTTGAAAAGTTACGTAAATTAAACAGACTAATTTGTATTTGAAGCATGTTGATTTTCAAATTTAAATAGTAGTAAGCAATTCACATGGTTGAACAGATTATCGCCAAAGTCGTAGATGAATTTATTGAGAAAAAAAAAAGTGGAAATAACCACTATGTTTTTTCCAACGCCCTCAAAATAAGTCCTTAAAGTTTAATTAGAAAACGATTTTTTCTTTTTAATTTTACTAAGAAAAGTCGTTTCGGACAACTCCAAAAGAAATAATTGCCACAAAACGTTGTGAAATAAATTTTTTTATATTTAATGAAGAAGTTGGGTTTCAGTAAACTCACGGAATATATTGCCATCTAATCTTAATAGAATCTTAATGACAACTGATGTTGATAATTGACTTCTCTTGTTGCATGGCGGTTTTCATATGACCGTTGATAGTTAAATTTTTTATGGTGTTAAAAAAATTGCGATTTAGAAACAAAGGATCCTCAGCTCTTTTATAAAGTCTCCATTGACAGAAAAGTAACCGTTGTGAAAAATCATTTGGCAATAATGCTTGCAACCTCTGAATTTGGTACTGAAAATTATATTCATCGGTCAAATTTGACGTTTGAACAAAGACATGACAATTTATTATTGTAGCCTTTAACCAAATGAAGTTATGTTGCTTGAAGTTGAGTTTGAAAGAAACACAAAACTCTTGTCACAGTTTCTCATTTTCTGTACTAGTTCATCACAAAACTCTTTAGTTGTAAGTAAAGTTTTATTGAATTGACACCTCTCTGGCGTGTTATTTTTGTTAATTGATTTTCGTTTACCCAAGCCTTTGCTAAATGACTTAACAGTAGATGCTCGAGGAAAGCGATCTGCGAAATTAAACTTTTGTCGTTCATTTATTTGCATAAGCCACTTCGAGATTTGAATCCTATAAACTGGAATATCTTTGTACGATATATTGCCATTCTGGATTTTGTGTAAGAAATAGTCAATTTGTATCGTATAGGTATTTACACCTTGTCCTAACAAAACTTTTGTAGAATCTAAAATAAAGAAAAAGATTGAATCATTTAGAAATGTTCCTTATAGTCCATTTAGTCTCAGTTAATTTGCGGCTACCACTTTGACTTTATTTTAGAAAATATGAGGTTGTATTCAATTCTGTCGGTACTTTCTCTATCTTGTACCTTTTTCCTTTAAAAAAATCAGTTTGCTAGTTACTTCAAATCCTCGAAAGACTTGCTCAGGGCATGACATGAAAAATTTCCTTTTGAAGATCGTCAAAACGCTGCAAGATTTTTAGATTCCTTACAGACGAAAGCCCATGAACTTTCTGTTTATTTTGTAACATTTTACGTCCAACATCTTTTTAAATCTGAACCATTGTTTTCACCAATAAGTCCGTCTTTACTCCCATATTACTAGGACAATATTTTAAGATTTTCCTTTAGCAATTTTCTTCATTGAAGTGGTCGATCCTAACACGTGATTTCTTGCGAAACTAAATTTATTTCTGTGTATTGTCTGAAGTAAAATGTTCAATGTTTGCATTTATAGATGAAAACAATTCTCTCATATAGAAGTACGATGTGGCAATGTGATGGTGACAGTGACATGAGATATAAATAAATCAAAATCATGGATAAATTTTAACTAACTTTTCATTCGTGCAAACTTTGGTAAAATTATCGATAATATGTATATGGTACTTCAAAATCGTCAAAATTCCAATATATTTCACAAAAATGTCAATCTCTTGAAACCGTTCACAAAATTCACAACAATTTATCAACAAGACCACAAACAAATAAACAATGATTAGTTTACTAAACAGCAAAAGTAAAAATATCAATATTAATTTAAAATGCAAAAATTACTGCTATTATTAATTTTCAGTCTTCTTCGTTATATGTTATTTGTGGACGTTGTATCTTTTTTAATTTGTTCGAAAATAGCTGTTCCTAGCAGGATTTCAAAAAAGACGGCATTTTCACTACAGTATTCTCTTTTCTTAATCTTGTAGGGATGTTTGCCCATATCCAACGATGTTTCGCAAATAGATTTTCCAATACATTAGATAACAAGATTTTTCAGAAACTTTGCATTTAAGTTTCGATGAGGTGTGGGTGTAATATCATCATTTGATCGAAGTATACCTTCATCAAATAAATAATCGACCCGTCAAAGTGTCCTCCTTTCTTCTTCGAATAGAAAAAACGAAGTTGTTTTGCCAACAATTTTTCGACACCATGTATAGTACCTACTGATTTTTTAACTGCTTTTCAAAAAGGCTTTTTTATTTACATTTGTTTGTCTAAATCAACAGAACATCCATAACGAATGCTATAACCTATAAAAAAACTTACGGTTTGAGCACAATGTCTCATCAAATCTTATAAATAGAAATCATAATCCTCGGACTTGATTGAGGCTGAATGTCTGCCAAACGGTTAAATTTTTGTAAACTTCCTGTGTTTTCAATCAAAACATATCAGATTTCTGCAAAGTTAATTACTATCCTTGAATCAGCAATTGTTCAATTGGGAAACTAAATTTACGGGTGAGAATTCGGATAAATTCAAATAAACAATAACAGGTTTTATGTACAAAGCATTAAACGTACAATTAAAGAAGCGCATATACTTAAACGACTTAAAAAAATTTGATTTGCAAATGAGACATTTTGTTACCGTCTGTTGTTTTACAACACATTGGAATCTAGTCAATTTAAAGCCTGAATAGAAAAGAATTAGGAAACGCAACAGCTAAAGCGGGGATGAGTTCAAACTGAAGAAAGTCTAAGTAGCGTTCTTCATTTAAATTTTCTTTAAAAATATAAGGTCCAAGAATTCTGTTTTCGACAATACTTGCTCAAACATTTATTTTTTGACGATGCTGTGTGTGACAGAGTTGTGTCCAATGAGGTTTTTCAGTTCCCCAATACCTGCAGCTTTGTCTATTTACGTGTTATTTTAAAGCAAAAGTAGCCTCATCAGAAAAATAATCTTTCGGATGAAATCTAAGTTTTGATGTTTCATCTCAATTTTCTGCTCCCAAAACTGCGTTCTTCGGTCAAAATCGTCTTCTAATAGTTCATGTATCAATTGAGCCTTATAAGGTTGATACGTTTTTTTTTTCGGAGTATTTGTGACACAGATCCCGATGACAAATTACAATTCTTGAAGATTGTCCTAACGGCTACATGGAGATTATTTACAGTTTCTAGTAAAATGTCTAGTTTAGAATCTTCTGATATTTCTGCTGGTCTTCCTTTAGGTAACGTGGTCGTACTCAAATTTCAATTCAATTTTGCTGATAGTAGATCTAATAATTGGAGGTCGATCAGGATGAATTACATTAAATGAATTACACACTTCTTGTTGAGTAAGCACTCTGTTTCCAAAACCAATTATCATTCAATTCAATACGTTCTTTTTCAGATAAATGCATTTTTAAAATGAAACGTAAAACTGACAAAATGATACTGACAAACTAAACGCCGGTGATAGTTTGGTTTTTATTTCCACAAAATACTACATCAAAATTTTACGATTAATACGAAGAAAAACGTTTTCTTTCAGATAAAGTTTTTGTTGTCTTTTAAAAAAAATGTGGAAGGTTGTTCAATTTAAACATTTGATTTAATTACTTGTGTGTATTTCAAAATATCAGTTTTCAAACGTCACTAAAACCGCTGATTTTGGAGTTATGGTATGTTATATAAAAAGTGTTCAGAATTTACCGTACAATTCAAAAATTGCATAATATGCAGGGTGTTCCATTAAAAAAATCAATGACTGCGTATATTCTTCTTGAGACAACCTGTCTACAATTTTTTTATGTCGAAAAATCCACAACTAAAAATAATAATCTAATACAATCTTAAAAACAGTTTTACTAAAGTCCCTATTGCTTAATGGATTTATGCAGTTTTTAGCAATAAAAAAAAATCGATTTTTATTTTTCATACAGGGTGTACCAAATTAATAGATTGAGCAGTTAACTACGGATTTCTTGGGCGAAATGGGACTTTCATTATGCCATTATTCATTTGGGCTCCCCTTTTTCAAGGAGCAGGGTGCTAAGGGTATTTTTATTGACAACTCCGTTATTTTCTGACAAAATGGGTTAAAATTTATAAATCGGGATTCGAAAAGCTTTGGTTTAAAAAAGATCTAAAGGCTGGCGAATAATGTGGTAATAAGCAGTTATTTTCAGTCGATTTCTACAGTTATACATAATGTTAATCCCTACCAAAGCGAGATTTCTCGTCATTAAGAGATATTGAAAGACGTCTTCGAGCTTTGTGCTTAACCACCAGTTAAAACTTACACTTGCGTTTCAATTTTCCAGCCAACAAGCCCCACCTCAGCAAACAGTTCCCCAACGTATCGTCCGAGAGCGATCTTCAGAGGTACAGAACTGCCCAACAGTCCAACGACAGAAGAAGTCCCAGCCTGTCCAACCCCACAGATTCCCTGAAGCAAAAGGTTTGTCCACAAGTAGGTGTTTCAAGAATTTGGTACTATTTATAACAGTATGTCTTTTTTTCTTTTCTTTTTTATATTAAGTTCTTTGCCGTTACCGTTTAAGCGAAGGTTTTTTTGTACGTGGATCGTCATATTGAACCAAATTATTGAAAATTGAAGTCACTAACAAGTAAATTGATGTATATTTACTAACAACGGGTACCAAAGAGCTTCTTCTGTATGCAGAATGTCTCTCATTCGACGCTTTGGTGTTGGTACTTCGGTAATTACTAAAGATAGCTCAAATTATGAATTTAGCGCACCTATATTCCTTGATGTTTTTAAACTTTTTCGTGTTGGCACTCCAGAAAATGTTCCTTTCCGATCACTTAGCTCAGAAAGTGCGTTGTTGCTTATCTAGATCGGAAAGGAAGAAACAAATCGGTAAAGTGACATAAGCAGGCAATAATTATTTACACCATAAATAAGGAGGTTAGTATTATTTACCAGTCGAGGACGATTTTGCGACCGAGCGGAGCGAGGGCTGGCAATAAAGTCCGAGACTGATAAATTATACTTAACTGCTGCGTGATGTATAACATTTTATCTGCTCCCACAGTTATTTATGGTTCATGAAAAAAATATTAGGTTTTATTTTTTGACATCAATCAATTCATTTTGACATTATTCGAAATCTTGCAAAGTCGCCTTGGTTGTTTGGATTTTGTCGTTTCTAAGGTGTTTAAGTATAAACAAAGCTACATAAAAGTTGCAATTTTGCTGGTTTTGAATAATTATTTCTAAATGGGTGATTTTCAAATAGAAACGGCAGCAAATGCTGCCTGCGAATTTTTAGTGGATCTAGTGGATAGTGGTTTGTGGATTGAATACTCAATGATTAAGTCAACTATTTTCATAGAGGAAAACTTTGAATATATCAAAATACCCCAAGCTGAGAGAATTTCTAAAAATGTCACGTACATTTACAATAATTACTTCTCGTTTGGGTTCTGTTTCTCACCTAAAAATTCTCAAGAAATATATCGAGATTAGATTGGAAATTAAAACTGAAATTTCACGCTTTTTTATGCGATATCAAGCAGGTAGATGTTACATCCAACCAGTCGGCAAGAATACCCTTTCTATGATTCCTAATATGATTTTTTGAAACTAGAACATCCTGAAACATATACAGGCCATTCATTCCGAAGAACATCGGCAACGTTACTGGCTAATATAGGAGTTGATATATTAGCAATCAAAAGACATGGTGGGTGGAAATCAGCCACAATTGCAGAAAGTTATATTGCTGACGGTTTATGTAACAAAAATGAAATGACACTTCAATTCCAGGTTCTAGTAGTACGTCGCGTCGCATCATGCTGTTTTAATGGATCAGTCAGATGATGTTGAGCCTCCGATGACTGAAATGGACCAGTCAAATCATTTTGAGAAAAATGTGACAATTAGTAAACGCGAGGAGAATAATTATCCAGATTTTATAAATGTTGCTAAATGTAATAACTGTACAATTACTATAAATATAAATATTCATACTTAAGTCACCAAGTGTTTGGAGACTGTATTCAATGCTTAAAACAAGAGGAACATTAATGCTAGCAAATTTCCAAAATTAATGCCTTTTCTAAAGAAAAAAGTCTGTGGGATGTAAAGCAAAGTACCCCAAATTTTTTAATGGACTAGAAGCAAACAATTCTTTAATAGAACCTCCGAATCATGATTTTCTCGACATGAAAGTAATTTCGATCATTTTTAGTGGTTGCTTTCAAAATTTTGACAATTTAATCCTTTGTAAACATGACCAATTAGTAAAAATGACCGTAGATGATGTAGAATGTAAGAATAAACATTCCTAATGTAAAAACAAATACTCAGAATATTTGTCGTTGTCGTCAAATGTAGTTGAGGATTATATAGAAAATATTTAGCACATCACACATCATAAATTATTCATACTGTAAACAATACATGTACTGCTCAATCTGTTGGAATGCATTCAATAGGAAATGTTTCTTGCAAAATAGCTACATAACTAAAATTACCCTACCAAACAGAATTTACGGGCGACTATTTTCACAGAAATTCAGTAACATTACTGGATGGATGGTTATATAGAAAATTGTAATCACAGTAAACAGACCAATCTTTCAGAAACGAACACACAAATATTATGATTCCTAAATTGACCGCAACATTTAAAATGGTACTTTGCATAAATACTAATAACAGATAAGTTATGTGTTTAATATTTTATGACCAATGAGTGTTCTGTTGTAGTTGTATGATTGTCAAATTATTCGAGCCTCATTTGTTATTCACGATTATAGATGGTCCAGATTTCCTGGACTTGGTCCAGATTTCCTGGACTTGGTCCAGTACAAAAAAAAAATTAGAAAGTTTTCTATAACAGAGGCATTAACGTGACTTTAACTCATATTTTTCAAAAATTGAGAGTTTAGCTTAAATAATCAAGAGAAAAATTCACTTCAAACTTTACTAATCCTTCAATAATTATATTTTTTCGATAAGAATAAACCCGCCATTAAAAAAACTAAGAATGACGTTATGCCAAATTTAGAACACCCGATTTTTTTGTTTACATTTGCCTAAATTTGGAACCTTTACCCAGTTACACGCCATATTCACAATATGGACACAGAATTTTATCACGAATAATTGCTAAATTTAAATTATATCAGTACACCCTGTATATTAAGTTATGCGATGTGACATAGCTGCCTTTGAATGTGGTCCAGATATAGTCTGTTGCTTTGACATTCTAAGAGGTAGTTAGCTGTGATAGCTTAATTTATCGGTACTATTAAAATGAGGTCTAGTTGGCTGTGACACAAATAAGAGGAATTTTAGAATGGGGTCAATGGCTGCGTATAAATATCTAATTGCCTCGATATAATGGGCGTTGAGGTTTTCAAACTTAGTCGGAAGATTAATATTTATTATAAAAATTCTAGAGAAGTGTTTTTCGTGTTGGTTTTCGTGTATTTGTCAACTTGACAATTGTTTTTCTTGGCTTTTTTGGTAGCAAACAATTTTTTATACATACCGCGGCATAAATAACCCTTCATTCATCGTTTTTCCAAAGATGCTCGAAAAGATAAAGGAAACAAAGATTGCAAAACTGATTAAACTTATGTTTAGGGAATATCTTGTTCCTACAACCTACAACAGTCCACTACAAGCAACAGTGGCGCTCTGTAAACAGAATTTCTACTCCTATGTTTTTTTTTAATTTTGTCATTTTTGAAGTCAATCAATTTGCTGGTTATTGAACTGCAATGTGTAAAGGTCGACGTTGAATCACATTCCTTGATGGATCCGTAGAGCTCCTGTAAATTCACCTTAGATTTGGACAACTGACTATTCCTAATTCGTGTTTACTGTTAACTGTTAAAATATTAATTTTTTTATACAATTCTATAAATAAACAAAAATGGGTGTATAAATTATTATACTGATTTACCTTTTGTTAATTAATTGTTAAATAAATAATATGAACAGGGTGTTCCAGATGGTCTTAACATTAAATGGCAACAATAAGTTTTTGAGCTGAAATAAAAAAATAAAATAAGAAATTGGCATTTTGGGAAAACATCCTGCTTGGTCAAAAAATTTAGTTCAAATATATTTTAGGTATTAAGTGCTTTTTCGTGTAATATATCAAAAAATTGTGTTTCACAATTAAAATTTTTTCCAAATTTGAAAGAAATAGGCGTGCTTCGATTTTTTCTTTATTTTTTGTTGGAAGTAAACGTTTGTTTCGCGATTGTAAAATAGATGTTATTGTTGGTATTGTTACCTTTCATACATGGGTCATCACAAAGCAGTTATCTCGACAACAGCCGGGTAATTTGCCAGAAATTAAGAGGGTGTATGAAACAAATATCAAAGTTACTGTTCTGTCGTTACATTATCTCAAGGGCAAATAAACAATTGGCTGGCACATTCCGTGTGAACAGCTGAGGCTTGATTCAAAGCAACCGCTATAGTTTTCATTTCATAATAAAATATATATTGATTCGTATTATTACAATACTTTAAAAATAAACAAGTGTTACACGATAATACGCCATCTCATCGATCGCTACTTGTGGTCGTTTTTTTTTACTAAAAATAGCATTTTAACTGTTAACCATTCCCCATATTCGACTAATTTGGCAAACTGCGACTTTTATCTTTTCGGAAAATTCATTTGCCTTTGAAAGAAAAGGGTTTTTAATCCGGGCGAATTAGACCAAACAGATGCCTGTTTCAAAAATCGGGCCTTTTCGAATTTTATGGGCTTAAAATTAAGTAAAAAATACACAGAATTAAAGTCTAAATTTGTGTATTTGTAGAGGTCGAGTGTCATATTGTTTACAACAAAAGAAAAAAGATTGTTGCTTATGTTCACTTATATCTCCGAAAGTAAGCCTCTAATCGACATGAGGTATACTTATCGATTTTGTTCCTGAGGAATTTGCCAGGATAGGCTTTTGCGAAAGCTCACAAATTCTTTTTTCATTGCAAAATTAGCGGTAAAGAAAAAAATGTGCAAAATTTTCAGCATTAAATAAAAAGAAGAAATTTGACTGAAAATTGATGAAACTACAGGAAAAGATAACTGTTGGGATGCTCAACAAATCCCGCAATCCGGACCACCAATTTCAAAATGGCGGCCTATTGCAAAATTATAAAGTTGAAAACGCGAGCGCGTATATCTTCTGCCCAAGTCAAGATGCGGTAAAAAAGGATCGAAAGGTAATTACATTGTTTCAAGTTTGCGTAAATTTTTAAGTTGCAAATTAAAAAAGTTATTAATAAAAAACCAAAAAAAAACGGTAACTGGGGTCCTAGGGTTTTTTAATATACAGATTACAAACCAATTACATCAAATAATGCTTGAAAAAAACATGAATTAAAAAAAAAACGTCTCGATCCGACCAATAGTATTCGAGATAATTTTTTTTCTTAAAAAACAGTATTCTGGCTATTCTATTTAATATTTTGTAATA